ATTATTCCAGTCAGACTGCTGAGAAAGAATGCAAAGGACTGGAGATGAAATTATTGGTAAAATCTGCATTATAACATAGCTAAATTCTTTCTCTACTTCAAGTGTTACTAGAACTTACTCTGAAGTACCCAGTAGCACCTGGGGAACTAGCCTTTCTATTTGGCTGTAAATACTCTGCTTAACACAATGGATATACATAAAAAGAGCATATTATATACAACAAAAAAGATTTTGCTCTGATTCACAATTTCAAATATTCTCAATTTTACTTGTAAACAATTGTGGAGGAATTAAGTTATAGCTTCAGCAAGGCTCCCAACTGTTTTCTAAATTCCTATTTTCTCTGTAACATATTTCATGATCAACTGAATAAATGCACTACGAAATCCCCAGCATAAAGGAGCTAACAAAAACCTGGTTAAAATGTAAACAACTGCTCTCTAAGTTATCTGGTTTATAAGAATTGCTTTATCAGATTTTCTTAAAAAAGACTCCAGTTTCTGCTTTAAGGAGTTATTGGTGAAGAAACACCGGCTGGTGTTCTCCGGGGCCTCATTCCAAGGGCTCTCCACAAATTGAGTTTAGATTTTCACCCCGAGGGTGGGAGAGGGGCCAACGTGTTTTAAGTAGAAAGACGACCATGGCGACAATGTGGGAAATGGGCTATCGATTTCTGAGACTGACACAGGAGTAAAAGGGTAATTTAATTGTCCAGGCAAGAAATCATCACAGCCTGAGGTCAGCTCTGGCTCTCCACTGCCCCTCTGCCATCTGCTCCCGAGGCAAAGGGGTTGTGGGGGCAGAAGAAGATTCTCTCCCATGCGTGTATCCTCCAGGAGTGGTACCTTGGGAAGGAAAAGTCCTGGATTTGCCACCTTTGAGCTAATTAAGAAGATGTTTTTGTTAAGCATTTTACTAAGTATCAGGCAGCTCTCAGAAATTGATTTAAGTGTATTTTCTAATCTATTTAATATTTTTGTTGTTGTTAATCCTCACCCAAGGATATTTTTTTCATTGAGTTTTTTTGTTTGTTTGTTTTGTTTTTTTAAGATAGAAAGAAAGGGAGGAAGGGAGAGAAAGAGACATCAATGTGAGAGAGACATATCAATTGGTTGCCTCCCGCATTATCCAAACTGGGGCCTGGGATCAAACCTGCAACCCAGGTACATACCCCTGACTGGGAATCAAACCCGAGACCCTTCGGTCTGAGGCTCTAACCACTGAGCAAAAATGACCAGGGCTATTTAATCTATTAATAGCTTAATTTATTCATCTTTTAATACAGTAAGAACAGTAATGCCTGATTTATATGCCATTTTGAGGACTGAAAGAGGGGTCACATACATGAAAGTCTTCATAAATCTTACACATTTATAAAGGTTAGCTGTAAAAGAGTAATAAACATTACTTGCAATATTTTTTTTCCAGATCTAAAAATGCTATGAGTATTTTCTTTTCAATTCCCATCTATTGGGGACTCCATAGGTTGATGAAAAAAGCTGTTAATTATTGATTTTTATATTGCAAGACATAAAATATGAACAACTGCGATGATTCTTTCACCTTCTAGAACACTGCAAATATGAGGCCAGGTGTTTAAAATAATAGCTAGCTGTTAAAGGAAGACTAGCTTAATTTATTATACTTCTACAGGAGAACTGTTCTAAGAAGCAAAAGCTAATTTCAAGATAAAGCATGAGGAGGAACTTGTCATCTCCCTCCAGGAATAAGTGAAGTTTTCTGGCCATTCTAAAGGAACGATGTCTAGGCACTCCTTTCTAGGCACTCTGTGGGTGCTGGGCAAGCAGTTTCTTCTATTCACACTATTAAAAATGGTGATGAGCCCGGCCGGTGTGGCTCCGTGGACTGACATCATCCCATGGACTGAGAGGTCCCGTTTCTATTCAGTCAGGGCACATGCCCGGGTTTCAGGCTCGATCCCCAGTAAGGGGCGTGCAGGAGGCAGCCGAGTGATGTTTCTCTCTCACATGATGTTTCTCTCTCTCTCTCTCCCTTCCTCTCGCTAAAAAAATAAATAAATAAATAAAAACATATTAAAATAAATAAATAAAAATGGTGATGAGCAATGGGGATGGTGGTTAACAGCCACTAAATTTCAGCCAACCCAAACAAGTACAAAAAGAATGCAACAAAAAAATTAAGGTGTATTTTATGTTCAAAAAAAGCTAATTTTATAGTAAATAAAAGAAAACCTATCAACATATCAACAAAACTGGTCATCATATCAAAGGCATGAAAAAAGTGGGAGCATAAAAAAGTTTTTCATGTTATTAAGTGCAGAAAATTCAACTTGACAGGAAATATGACTCGATCAACAAATCAAAAGGCATGAAAACAAAGAGACTTAGGTTCCATAAACAACTGTAATGTGTGGTCCTTGGCTAGGTTATCATTTAAATAAGCCAACTATAAAAGACATTTGGGGAGAATCAGCATAATGTGAATATGAACTGAGTATTAGATGATAAATGGAATCAACTTAGGTGTGATGACAGTATTATGGTCACATAAGAAAACTTCCTTCGTTTATAGAGAGGCACACTGAACTACTTAAAGAATGAAATGCCATGATGTTTGGCATCTGCTTTTAAATACTTCAACAAAGAAAACAATATCGATGAGACAAATCACAAAATGTTAGTAAGTGATAGGAATACAGTATACTATTCTCCCTACTCTTCTACATATATTTACAATTTTCTTTATTAAGTACTTTTGAAAAGGAAAGAAAACCTGATAAGACATCCAGTCCATCCACTGAGCGGTGATAAGTTTGGTTGCCTTGATTAAATAAGTGAATGGCTCACACCAAGCATGTCTTGAGGTCAGAAGGACACCTGAGGGAGTCTTCTTTACTATCTTTGTGGGGTAAATTGTAGAATGTGGACTGAAGAGTTTCTCCCTCAAATTTTAATGGCATATTATCAAAACTCTCCCAAAGCAGCTGAAGGCGGGGACGGGAGGGGTGGAATCTCGAGGGAGCTTAGAGTTGCGTGCTGCCACTTAGGAGAGAGGTACACCAGTTACCTCCCCTCTCTGGCCTAGACCCACAGCCACGGTGGGAACCAGTGAACCCATTATGTACCACAAAAAATTCAAAGAGGTAAGTTTTATTATCCCTCATTTACAAGGGAATTCTTTCAAAGTCTCCATATTGTGGGTTACTCTTTCAATTGCTACTTTGAACAACAAAGTACTATGTGGAAGAAGGTCCCGCAATTATTGCAAATATCAGATGTATATGGGTCACTGCCAAAAATCCTTTACAAAGGAGAAAATCAGTCCTGGGGGTATGAGCTCAATGTGCAAGTATTAGATGTGGTTTGTAAATAAGCCATTCATTTCGAAGGTCACTTAAAAAAATCAATCTGGCCAGTGTAGACATTTTCATCTACAAGAAGTATGGAAATAGGTCCTGGGAATACAATTTTTAGAAACAGTATCAGATAAGAATAAAAGAGGTGTGATAGCAAAAATAGCTCAAATGGGCTTTGGAAAATGCACTATGTAACTCAAAAGTAGCTCTAATGATGACCAGCATTATAATGTTGGAGGGGGAGGTGAACAGTTGGAATAAACATTGTTTCATGAACTACGAGAGGCACACCCCTTTCAGAGAGGAGAGAGTTCTTCGAGGTGGGACAACCAAGAGGGTGAGATCTGGGGACAACTCATTTGAAGAAGGTAAAAATCTGCAGGGTAAAGACCTGTAGGGTAAGGATGACACAAAAGAAATGTCTCCAAGTATCTGAAGAGCGGTCATGTGGAAGACAGAGTTGATTATGTATTTTTGACAGCAGAAGTTAAGTCAATGGATGGAAATCACAGAGAGGCAGGTGTATACTCAATATAAGCAAGTACTTTATAACAAGTACTTGTTATAGACCTGTCCAAGATTGAATTTGAAAAGTCATGTGTAAGTAAAGGCTTCCTGACCAACTGTAAGAAAGGCAACTGAAGTAAATTGCCTTTATGGTCATTTTTATATTTAAGTTCTATTCTTTTATCAAATTATCTCCAAGATGGCAACAAGTTTAACTTTATAACTGCATTTATTTTGTGAAGATATTATTCTTTGAATTACATTTTTAAAAAACGGTTGCTCTGTGTGAATCATGACATTAAGTTCTGTGGGTGATAAAACATACATAAACATAATAATTGTCAAAAGTTTGTGATCAAGGAAGGAGATATACACATGTATAACACATGCCACACATGTGTACATGTCAACATGTGCCAAAACATGTATAACATACCATCCCTTGGCTGGGACTTTGTCACAAGGTTAAAGCAGATATGTAATGAGGGCATGATCCAATTAAATTTCATATTTTCTGCTAGGGAGTCACTTAAGGACCCCGTCTCTAGTCCAGGCTATCTGCCTGTCCAAGAGTAAAACTGATTCATCCATAGTGAAGAGATGAGTCAAATATTTTGGCTTTGTTCAAAGGCTTTCTTGGCTTGGCCTCAAGTCACTGGACATTCCCTTCCAATTCCCAGCTAGTTCTCTCAAATCTCCTCAAAAACTATTATACAAAGAATGAACAATGGGACTTATCCAATAGTCCTTCCAAATGCAATACCCAATAAAGTAACATCGGAGTTACGTAACACCACTGGTCGCTCAGTTCTATCCTTGATCCCCAGGAGATTAGGCAACAGTATGAAATCATCAGTTTGAATGCAACCCAGTATAGAAAACAATTCCAGGGTCGGAAGTACTAATGAGACACAACTTTTGGTATATGAAGCACTATAAACTTACCATGGACAGTGGGGAGGAAGTTGAAAAATACTACTGTCTTATAAATGGTACTTGATATGAATACAAAGAAAATATTAAAATGAAATAATCACATTTGATGAAATCACCCTTGAACAATTTTTTTCAAAACTGGAGCTAAGTAAACCATTCAAAATTTTCCTCAAATAATCTGAAAATAAAACTTTTCTTGGTTCTAATCTGCAAAGCTGACCTGAGATTGTTGGAAAAGGATGCTCTTCTCTGGGTTTATGCCACAGGCAAGAAGAGCTGCAGTCATGTCCAAGATGCTCTGCCGAAGGACGGCTGGGTCTTGGGGGACAGTGATGGAGTGTAGGTCAACGATGCTGTACAACACGGAGCCAGGCTCATTCTGTAAGCTCACCCAGCTCTCAATGGCTCCCAGGTAGTTGCCGAGGTGGGGGATTCCTGTAGGCTGAATGCCAGAGAAAACTCGCCTCCCGGCATCTTTCTGGAACAGAGGAAAACAAACATATTTGCTTCTGAGGCAGACTCCACAAAACCTGTGTCCATATTACCATAGCTACAATGGCTAGTCCTACTTTGTTAAACAACAATCTGACGGTCATCATTGTTAGGAACTCTGTAGAAAGCACAGTGTTAGGAACAGAAAATGATATTTAAACTGTGGGTTTTTCTGCACTCAAAAACTTACAAATACAAAGGCACATAAGAAAAAGTCTAAATCCCCACGAGAATGCAATCTAATTGGAGAAGGATATGTCTAAAAGATAAGTAACAGTACACTGCAGAGACATGACCTTGATCAGTTTGGAAAGATAAATAGTGGGGTACAGGCGGGAGAGCCCAGGAAGGAGAGATGACTGTGGATCTGGGGGTCAGTGAGAAAGACTTCAGACATAGAATCAAATTTCATTGGAGATTAAAGGGATTGGAAGGGTTTTTCATGTGATTTCATTCATTCTGAAGTTAGGGCAATGAAGGCCATAGATTAAGTGTAAAGACTACTATTTACTTAATTCAGTTTTCTCTGAAAATAATTGCTGACATAATATCAGCAATATTATATAATTGAGTATATATACTGAAGTGTAGTAGACTACATAATTAATATAATTAAGTGTGTAGGATCTTGGGCTAGAAATTTGGAAACCGACACTCTATTTTTAATATTATCTCTTGATAAAATTACTTAACTTTTATAAAATAAAAATTAAATTAAATTTTTAAAAGTTACATAACTTTTTCATGCTTCAGTTTTCTGTACTTTTGATAAATAATACTTGGTTTTTTATTTCTTCAAAAGGAGTTTTTAATTCAGTATAATTGTTTAAATTATAAAAACATTCTGTCCTAGACAGACAACAGTATGGTGATTACTGGAGGGGACGGGGGGTAGGGGGAGGTAGGAGAGGGTAAAGTGGGGATACATGGGGATGGAAGGAGACTTGACTTGGGGTGGTGAACACACAATACATTATACAGATGATGTTTATAGAATTGTACTCCTGAAAATGGTATAATTTTGTTAACCAATGTCACCCCAATAAATTCAGTAAAAAACATTTTGTCATGTTTTCCCACTGGTGCACACTTTCTAATAATGAAGGTAAAATAGGAAATGAGAAGAAAAATTATGACATAGGGTGAAAATATAAAATTTTTGCATTCTGTAGTAAAAACCTAAAAAATAAATTATATTAGTAAATGTGCTATAACTAAAAGAATATGAAAAAATAAAATGCATCATTACAATTTTTAACAATAAAATATTAATAATAGCAGCAATATTTATGGGACAACTACTATATTACAGACATTTATGCTAAGTGCTTTAATTTTTTTTCTTTATTGATTTTAGAGAGGAAGGAAGAGGGAGAGAGAGACAGAAACATTGATGAGAAAGAACATCAATTGGCCACCTCCTGCTTGCCCCTCACCGGGGATCTGGCCCACAACCTGGGCACATGCCCTGACCAGGAATCAAACCGGCGACCTCTTGGTACATGGGTTTATGCTCAACCACTGAGCCACACCAGCCAGGCTATGCTCAGTGCTTTATATATATTAATGTATTTAATCCTTATAATACCCAATATGGTAGGCATCTTATTACCTTCAATTTGCAGATGAGAAAACTGAGGCTCACAGATATTAATAGGTTGTTCACAGTCACAGAGATAGTAAGTGGTGGAATTGGGATTTCAAGCCAGGTATCATCAGCTTCAAAGCCCTGTACACTCCTTCCACTAACTACAATGTTTTGTATAGACACCATCTATTACAACTTTATTACATTCATTGTATTAATTTTGCGACTTTTCTGTAGGTTTGAAAAGTTGAAAAAAAAAGTCAGGGAAAAAGAGACCATTCTAATATATGTATCTCTGTGTACTGTGTGCCAAGTTTCTCTAGAGTATATACCTACAAGTAGACATTCTGGGTCATAAATTATGCATATATATCTTCAGCTGAACTAGTGTGTTAAACTATTCCCAACTATGCAATAATCTGCAGTTCCTAATATCAACTCCTATAGCTCCACAGCCTCATCAGCATTTACCAGCATTTTTACTTTTAGCTAATCTGGATGGATATGAGGTAGAATCTCATTATGGTTTAATTGCATTTCTTTTGTTAAATGTTTTATTGATTTTTTTTTTTTTCCGAGAGAGAGAACCATTGATGAGAAAGAAGCATCAACATTGATCACTTGACTCCTGCATGCCCCCTACTGGGGATCGAGCTGGCACTCTGGGCATGTGCCCTCACAGGGAATCAAACCAGTGACCTCTTGGTACACAGGTCGACTCTCAACCACTGAGCCACACTGGCAGGGATAACTGCATTTCTTTATTAAAGAAGTCGAGAACTCCTGTGGTTCTTGGTTAATTTTACTTCCTCCCCTTTGGAGAGCCTATTCAGGTTATTTGCCTACTTTTCTCATGTTGGATTGTCTTTTTATTAAGAACTTTTATATATTCTGGATACTAATATTTTGTCAATCATATGTGTGTTCAATGTATTCTTTCATTGTGTGGCTATCTGTCTTCTTTATATTATCTTTTGATGAAGAGATGTTCTTTATTTTACCAAATATATAATTTTGACTACAGATTTTTATGCCATTCTAGAAGAAATCTTTCGATACCCTGAGGTCATGAAGATGTGTGTGCATACATACAGGGGTAAGCAAAAGAGGTTTACAGTTATGGGTGCACAAAACAGTTTATTCTTGTATTATTTATTTATTACTGTGTTATTTATTTGAACAACTGTAAACCTCCTTTTGCCCACCCCTGTATATGCATATATAAAGCTTATGTATGGGTATGTACGTATGCTTTAAAGTTTTCTATTACACCCTTAAGTCTATATCCATCTGGAGATTTTTGCATATGGTGTGAAGTAGGCATCCATTTCTTTTCTTTTTTTCCTACATAGATACCTAATCGTTCCAGCACCACTTACTGAAGAGATTCCCTCCCTACTGCTCTGGAAGGCCACTTCTACCATAAATCAAGTATCTCTGCATGTTTGGGTCTGTATCTGGCCTTTCTATTCTGTCCCGTTGGTCTGCTGGTCTATCTCTGAACCAGTACCACAATTGCCATATTTTATTGATTTTTTTTTTTAAGAGCGAGAGGAATGGAGAGAGAGAGGGGCATTGATGTGAGAGAGAAACATCAATCAGTTGCCTTCCATATGTACCCCAACCAGGGATCGATCCTGCAACCTAGGTACATGCCCTGACTGGGAACCCAACTGCAACTTTTTGGTGTACAGGTCGATGCCCCAACAAACTGAGCCACCCGGCTAGGCATCACAATTGCTTTTTTAATAAATGTTGTGACCTGGTGGAGGACGTCTTTTTACCTTCTTCTTCAAGAGCATTTACCCATCATTGGTCCTTTACTCTCAATATTTTAGAATCATCTTTCATGTTCCAAGAGAAAAAAATTGTTGGTTTTTTTTTTGTTTTTTTTTTATGTTAAGCCTATAGACTACTTTGAGGAGAACCAACATCTTTATAACACTGAGTCCTCCAATCTAGGAAATCTTATAGCATATGAATATCTAATATAAAACACAGTGACACAGTTGATAACACTGTGTTGTATAATTGAAATCTGCAAAGAGACCAGAAGTTAAATGTTCTCACCAAAAAAAAAAATAATAATAAAACCCAAACAAAAAACATAAATATGTGAGATGATGGACGTGTTCATCAACTAGATGGGAGGAACCCTTTCCCAATTATATCAAATTGCCACAACGCTCATTTTAAATACCTCACAATTTTATTTGTCAACTATACCTCAATAAAGCTGAAAAATTTAAAAGTAACATAAAAAAGTCTTTATCTTTATCCCTGAAACTAGCTCCTAAGGGTTAATCTACTTGAGATATGGCAGTGCCAAGGCTACTTAAATTTTGCCTTTCCCTTGCCCGAGAATTCCAAATCCTACAAACATGGTCTGTTTTCTCCATATCTGCTAATTTTTCTCTCTGTGCTTGAGACAACAACCCTGAAATAGGATGCTACATCACAGCTCCAGAGTTGCACTTGATCTAAGCACTGGGGAGACCTAAAATATGTGTGACACTGGGGATATGAAAAATATCTGTGAAGTAAATTGAGAACAAATATTTCTTACCACTTAAAATCACACACACACACACACACACACACTAGGCCTTCCAGTGAATAACTCCCCAAATCATAATTTAGAAACATTACTTTAAAAATAGTTTGTAGTTGAGAACTGAAACTGGGGAGAGGGAGAGAGGGAGGGAGGGAAAAGGAGGGGAGAAGAGAGAGAGGTTAGCATAGAATAAGTACCTATCACTGAGGCTTCATCCAGCACCTTGAGACCTTACCAGCCCTGGGTTCCTGATAGGGGAATAAGCAAAGGAGCTTGCAGTGAGGTAAAAAATGATTAATGGGCTTTAGGGACTGATTGATGAAGGGAGAAAACAAAGCAGAAAAACAAGCTCTGCACTTAATAGATGGAAGAGAGAGAAAAATACCATTGAGAAATACTTGACCTAGGATGAAGAGGGAATCTTTATGTTACTGTAAGGAGTTATGAAGACTAGGAATATCAATCTGAAAAAGAATATGAATATTTCCACATAAATCCCTCCATGTTCAAACTAAGAGGAAGAAGAGGAGAAACGAATTCTTGAGAAAACTAGAAGAGAAAAGCACTAGAGGAGAGATGTGGGAAGAAGAACTGTGACCAGTGGGAATGGACTGAACAGGATCTAATACATCTTTTCATTCTCTGGTTTCTGTGATTTTTTATATGTCCATGCAGAGGGAATGATGTTATCAAGAAATAAGAGCAACAAGAAATGTTTTGTTCAGTGTTCAAGCAGTCATTAAGAAAATACAGCCTCTAAATGAGAACTGAATTTTTGGTCTTAAAAATATACAGAGCATCCTGCTCTTCGGCGGTGAGTTTACGTTCCCGTCTGTTCCCCGGC